TTAGATTTTCTATATTGTAGAAGAATCAGAGTATTTAAATAGAATTAAAATAGTACTAAAGGCGGGTTTGGCATGGCCAGATGGTTAGGGCGCTTAACTCGCAATCTGAGGGTCGCGGGTTCGAATCTCCGTCCCACCAAACATGCTTCGCCCTTTCAGCCGTAGGGGCGTTATTATGTGACTGTCAATCCCACTATTCATTGGTAAAAGAGTAGCCCAAGAGTTGGCGGTAGGTGGTGATGACTAGCCGCCCTCCCTCTAGTCTTTCACTGCTAAATTAGGGACGGCTAGCATAGATAGCCCTCGTGTAGCTTTGCGCGAAATTCAAACCAAATACAAAACAGGCTATGGATTAAAGATTTTACTTGCTAATTCTGAGTTTAGAAATTACCAGTGGAACTGAATTTGTTTAGAGATATTTTCTGAGAGAAGACATTGCTTTTGTTAAAAAGTATTGTGTGAAAGAGCATTATTATAAAGTCGCATTACTTCTCATTTATCCAGTGCAACTTGTAAGCATGATTTCTAAACCAAACCACGCTTACATCTGAGCCAATCAACTCTCACAGGTAAGCCTTCATCACTGGAAGGCGTATAAACAGCAAGTGTACTGCTTTCAAACATCGTCATGTCACTAAAACTGGATTATACTGCCCAAAAATCAGTAACACTTGGTAAATCTTTAAGCTTATTCCGAACTTCCACATCTATATATATAACAAATCAGTAACACTTGGTAAATCTTTAAGCTTATTCCGAACTTCCACATCTATATATATAACGTTTTCCGTGAAGATAAGAATTTTAAAAACTTTTGGTTCAGTTTTAAGTGATCAACCTGTCATTTGAGTGGTTAATGTTGCTTTTAGGCTTCGACGTTTAATAAACGCTCTGGATTTGACGCTGTAACGCTTTAATAACACTGACTTCCAAGGAATTTAATCTTTAAATCTCACCAACGTACACTGCAAAGTATTGATTAAAAGACTCTTGCCTTCCACTTTCACCACCCACCTGACGTCACTGTAACGTATTTAACAAAAGGTTTTGTTGATAGTTTATTACTTATCTGTTTAAACAAGCCTCTACATTAACACTGTAGTTATTCTGTTTCACTCACGCTTTACAGTTACACACTACAGGTAATCATCTGTTTCACCGAAACTCTACACTTACACACTACAGTTAATCATCTCTTTCATCGAGACTGTACAATTACAAATTGTAGTTACTCAACTGTTTCACCAAGACTCTGCTCTTACATATTGTAACTAATCAATTGTTTCACTGAAACTCTACAGTTTTAAATAGCAGTTACTAAGCTGTTTCACTGAGGCAATATAGTTACAAACTGTAGTTACTCAACTGTTTCACCCAGGCGGTACAGTTAAGATTGTTTGTTTGTTTCTTTTTGAATTTCGCACAAAGTTACATGAGGGCTATCTGCGCTAGCCGTGCCTAATTTAGCAGTGTAAGACTAGAGGGAAGGCAGCTAGTCATCACCACCCACCGGAGCCGTGGGGGCGTTATAATGTGACGGTGAATCCCACTATTCGTTGGTAAAAGAGTAGCCCAAGAGTTGGTTTGTATGTTTGTAGTTAAGCGCAAAGCTACTCAATAGGCTATCTATGCTGTGCCCACTATGGGTATCGAAACCCGATTTCTAGCGTTATAAAACTGCAGACTTATTGCTGTGCCACTGGGGAGGGATAAAAAAAAGGCATATAAACTCTTTCAACTGAGTTGACTATAAGGTGATTATAAAGAAAACATCATAATTAAAATGATGATATCTTAAAATATGTTTGTCCTAGAGAAACTG